GTCTTATGGTGAAGCTGTAATTTAATTCTTATTTTAAGTAATGAATTATGGTTCTGTTTTCTACAACTAAAACATAGTTATTGTTATGAAATATGTTCATTGCATGACTGTTAAGTTTTTGTTGAATAAACCTCGTTCAGGATACGGATTAAGATAGCTTATATTGTATAAAATATATTACAAACTTCTGATTAATATATCAAACTGCCTAGGCAGAAACTTAACTACATCCTGACATATTTTCATTTACTGTATTAACCTATTTAGAAAGCCATACACAGTATGCAGGATAGCCAAAACAACAACAGCAGAACTTCTTCTTTAGATTAATATGTGTCGATAAATACAAGAATGCACTTAGTTATTTCATCTGCAACAAGCTACTCATATCCTGCAAATCTTGATTTTTCGATATTAATTCATTCAACAACATAAGCAAGACTAAGAAGTGTACATTTTGTTGTGTGAGGAATAAATAAGATAAGAGTAGAGAAAATAAGAATCCCTAAAGAAAGTCCAAAACGGCAGTATTGAAAATGCTGCAGACCCGGTTTGATTGGGCCTGTTCATGGACGGTACTGTTAATTGCAAATTACCGTCCACGCCTCCTAGCACCTGCTTATGCAGAATTCAACTTTAAAACACGAAAATGTTGAACTTTTGAAACAAGAAAAAATCGCAGATATGTTCATACGGCGGTTATCATGAAGTCTTCAGTATGGCACTTTCGTGCCATTCCATGAAAAGCGGCGTATGGTTCCCAAGTAAAATAAAGTGTGTGCCATAAACGAGAAAATAATGGGCGGAACAAAAAAAAATGGAATTTTGAAAGAGGATCAGAGGTTATGAAGCCTGCATATCACAGATGAGATGTCAAAAAAAAAAAAACAAATTTAAAGGAATTATGTATCAAAAGGCTCAACAGTCTTTTATCGAAAGCTAAAGGTCGTTTAATCAATATTTGTTGGAGGAATGATTCTTTGAAAACAAAAAAAAATGAAAACAAATAGTTAAGTTTATGTTTGAGTCTGTTTATGAGAAATAATTAAATAAACAAAAAACAACTTTTTGGTGTTCTTTGGGGATTAAGTTTTTGCCTATTCAATCCTTTTCTCTTAAAGAATAACAAGCAGTGATCCTAAAGGTCTAAACAACTTTAACAACACTAACGTTTCTTGAGTAATTCTTACATGTATATTAATACTCAAAAATCCTATGTATTTCCTTTTTTCCCCACATACATGAAAGACATTGTCAATTTTCCAAGTACTAGTCTCTACAATATAACCAAACTTGTACTTATCAAAGTGCTTCCATATGTACTGTGTGGAGACTGTAAAAAGTCGCCGTATTGGGCATTCTTTAAAGGTACATTAAAATAAGAGCCTTAATGAAAGTTCAAAACGGAAAAATTGGAAGCGTTGTAGGCTCGGTTTGACTGACCCTGTTCATGAACGGTACTGCCAAGTGCAAACTACATTAAACCTCAGAAATGAATATTTTTCTTCTGTAGAAAGGGCAAATATGTACTCTGTGATGTTGTAATGAAAGGGTTCAAAACATGCCAGATTATTATCACCTGAAAAAAAAACACTAAATGTGAAAGAAAATACGATAAAGCTAGCAAAATGTTAACATATCACTATAACCGTAATGATTTTAAAAAACATAAAAATTATTAAAAAGCAAAGGATTGTTCAGCTATAAATTAGCCTCATAATTGAAATTGAAACAGGAGACCGATAATAAAAAGCTTTTGGAAAAAATGATATATTAGCATTTCTGAGGTATAATTGGTCTTAAATAATGATGGGTCAAGGTGAAAAGTTGTTACATGCATTCCGGTCGAACTACCTTTTTTAAAAACGAGGAATAAACTTTATTCAAATTCATTCATATTAAAACAACAACAACAAACAAAATAATTGAAATGCTTACTATATGTATAGTATTTATAATACTAAATGAAGAAATATGAAGCAAGGTCAGAAAGCACTATATTTTAGTAAAGCATTAACGTAAATAGTGACGGTATAGTGCATTTAGTGGTGTAAAACCTGACATAAAAATGCTTGATATTTAAGGGGGCAGGGGACCTAAAAATTAACAATTTTGTATTTCAGTGTGACAGAAACACAATTCCAAATACTTCAATATCTGTTTCACAGGCAGATAACCAGTTGCACAGCATTATTCAATGATATATGACATACATTGAAGAAAATAATAGTTTGCATGCATTGCTCCTTCAAAAAATGAATGACAGCAATTTATATATTTATCCCCACCCAGCCAAAATCACACCTAAAATATACCAATATGGGCAATCTTCAGGAAGGTGCAGCATACTCCAGAATCCGCCCGATTCCTTTAAAAATATCAGTAACACGCAGTGCAAGCTATGGCATTTTCAGAAATGACCAATAAAGTGTCTGTCATACGTTTAGATTTTACACAAAATTTATCTGAAATTTCTTACTTGTTTGGCGCCAGCTTTCAAAGCTTGATTTTTAATTTTTTCACCTCCATTCGGAGAGTCAGAAATACATACAAAGCTACCAAAATGCTTAGTTTCGGGTAAAAACCCAAAAATACTTATCATTTCCTACACACAAACAAGAAAGAATTACAATGACAGAGAAATATCAAAAGTTATCAGTACCTTCAAAATACCATGTCTGAGTTATTTAAAAAATTGACCGGGGCCATCATTCGAATATGTCCCCTGCCCCCTTTAAAGTGATAATATATCGACGTTTGATTGAAAATTAGATCATGATACTATTGGATTATTGGAATTAATTTTGACTTACATTTAACATTTATTTATTTTATACTTAAAAACATTGAAAACGTTCAAAACAAGCAAAAATAAAGGAACAATAAATGAAATGGGAAATCTTGTTTCGATTTAACAGTGATAATGGCCGCTTAACGTAAGTAGATCTGACATAGTTTACTCTCTGTGAAGTTCATTCATTTATATCGCTAGCATGTTCAGGTACAGATATCTACAAATTGTCTCTTTATATTTCGATTTCATAACTTATTTTACGGTATGTTAAACTGATGTATATAAATTACTCTTTTGATGGACAAGCTAGTTAAAACTGTATCACGTAAATTTTTTTATTATAAGTTTTATGACTATTTTTACATCAGTTTAAATTTAATGTGTCAGAATATTCAAGTTGTTGTTTACTAAAATTATCTATGTCATTCTAATTGTCGTTTATAAATCTAAATAAATTATTTCTATGACGCCATTCCTTTGATAGCCGCAATAGTTGTCAAAATATATTTTAACAATACGCTTTCAGTATAGGTTACAGTACATATTGGGTGTTCTTCGTAAATAAGAAAGCTAAAAAGGACCGGAGCTTGCGAAGCGACTGTAGCTTTCTTATTTACGAAGAACATCCAATATGCACTCTAACCGGCTTAGGGCTCCGCCCAATTTTTTTTCCCCCAACACACTGCGTGACGTCACACGATAGCCTAAATGTGTATAATCATATTTGGAAGGCGGTAGCGGTATACATTTTCGGGTTACATGTATGGCGATATAGAGTTTATCAGGAAGAAATATTTTGATAAACAATTTTAACAGTTTATTTCGACCACTTCATGTTTATAGCCTGTTTGTTTATCGACACATAGTGCATTTCTTTGAGATAAGAAATGGTTAACAAGTTTTCAAATACCCATACAATTATGATTTAAATAGGTTATCTACCTTTACTCTTTAGCAAGTAGTTAAAATATTTAAAATAATATTCATGTTGCCCATGTATCTGTAGATGTATACTAAATACACATGACTCTAAAATGCTGTATTTATAACACAAACCACAAATGTTTGTTGTTGTTGTTTTTGTTAAACATTTTTACTGTTATTTTGCCTGTTTTCATCACAGGGGGTTCTGTCATGTTTTTTCCTTTCCCACTATATAATATAATATCATAACAAGGGATACAACTCAAAATTGCTCAATTCATGAAAAAGTAAATACAACGCAGTATACAACAGTTTTTTTTCTTCTTCTGATTGTTGGACATTGATGAAAGAATCGATAATTTCAAAAAAAAAAAAAAATGACTCACTTTGTTACACGGACAAGATATTATTAAAAATAACCTATCATGTTTCATTTTTACACACGTTTGTAAAATTTCGGTTTGTAAAATTACAAGTGTAAAACGACTTCTTATGCAAACGTATGCTCATATAAGAAAGTTTAATCATGTAATCGGTTAAATATCAATTATCCACCACCATCAATGATGCAATTATTAACTGGTGGTACAAATTATTGTATTTATGTTTGTTTTGATAATTTCTATCCCCGGCTTCCATTTTGATGTTGCCCGTATGTTCCAATGCGTAAATCCAACTTATCTTAGTAACTGTCAATTTCATTGGCTAATGAATAATAATAATCCGGATAATAACGGCATATAGCCGCGACGAATAGCGGTTTTTTTCAACAGCCAATGAAAATACTCATAAACATAAACACACCTGCAAAATGGACGACAACTTGACAGCCAATGTAAATATTGAAATGTTAGCTATTTCCTGCAATGTTACAGGTTTTAATGAAGTGTTTGTAGTAGAACTTGGGTAATGACTCGTTCATATATTAACTTCTACAATAACTTTGATGGAATAGAGGATATTTTATACAGTTTACACGTGTGAATGCATTTTACGAACCCGTGCTGGTAGTGCGAGGCCACGACTTGTATCCCTTGTTTATATTATATATATATAAGATTTAATAAAATAATGACAGATTTCCCTGTGGTTTTCATTTCAATGAACCTCTTTTTTTAATTCTATGCCGTAGCACTTGACGATATACATGTGCGTGTACGGAAAAAACATGATGCATAAATATTGATTAGTAGGAGGAGTAAACTTCAAGATCTCTGCACATGCGTATATTGCACTTTAGCGCTCTTCGAAAATTATCTCCGCCCACTTGCGTTTTATAATATAAAACGTCCAGTTTAAATAATATCTGTTCTATTAAGATTTGAAACCTGAAAATTTGAAAAAAACCTCGTCGGTGATTGTCTTAAAAAAATTGGCGAGCACTAATATTTTTTCTCTACCAAACTTTATCGTTTCAACAGATATGTTATCTATGTCTCTGGATTAAAGAAAGATAGATTAGTGTTTTTCATATTATGGGTGTACAAAATGCACATAATCATTCAAATAAAATAAATCATCACGTAATCATCAAAATTTACATTATTCAGAAGCAAAGTGTCATACAATAATACAAAAACATCTTTCGACTGTATTCACAAAACGTGTAGAAAGGAAAGAAAGATATATTACTAACAAGATAACATTCTTATGCCCCTGCCATTTAATGGCTGGGGCATATAGTGTTACCCTGTTCCGTCATTCCGTCCTTCCGTCATTCTGTCATTCCGTCATCATCAGTTTCCGTTCATTATCTTAGTAACCGTTGCACACATTCAACTCAAATTTGACATATGGATATATCATGAGAAAATACAGGTCAAGTTCGAATTTGGTCATGGTCCGATGATTTTTGACAGAGTTATGCCCCTTGATGAAATTTTCAGTTTCTGTTCATTATCTCCCCAACAGTATTACACATTCAACTCAAATTTGACATATGGATACGTCAAAGGAATGCGCAGGTCAAGTTCGAATTTGGTTATGGTTCAATCGTTTTTGCGACGGACGCGCCCTCAGGCGCGTTTGAAGCTATATCATCTTCACATGGGATTTCGTCGGCTACAATCGCGCAAGTGTCCTCAACCGAATAACAGCCCAAGAAATAGTACATGAATTTGATCCTTTGAAACTCCCATTCTCTGTCGGGATATCTTAAAAGCTTCCATACTTAGCCTCTTCAATTTCAAATTAAGTTATCCAAGTTGAAATATGAACGTATATGATTGATAAAAACGTTGTAGTCCCGTAGTATTATTGCGCAAAATGCAAATTACTGCCGAAACGATTTACCGCTGTCGAAAAAGTAGGACAGCAAATTATACTATAATTAAGGTGTAAGCTCAATAATTCCAAGAAATTATTAGTAGGAAATAAATATTTCTACATTAAACAAAACATCATTATTAACAAATCAAAAGTTTTTCGTGACTCTAAATCTAGAATACCTCGCGCATCAATAACAGAAGAACTCTTTTAGTGACGTCATACCGCGGGTTTATCTGATTCTCGCGGGACAGAGGAATCTTTGTCGGATGCGAGCAGTTGTTATTTAATTTTCTAGAACACAGTACAAAGGTTAGTATTATAAATATTTATTTTTGAAAAAGCATGTAACAAGAGAGTTTTTCAACACTTTATTGAAGGACGTTGTAATATCAGTTACAATAATAGGATACTACGTCATCGCGCACTTGCTGAATGCTCCAACTTGGACCATTTTTTCGTCGACTCGAAGGTAAAATACAATTTTATTATATGAAAACGTATGAGTATTAAAACATCATGTAGCGCACCAAAGAATGGCTAAAGTACTAGAGGTAAATGTAAAAAAAGTTTATAGATTTATAATAATACGCTATAATACATATTTTTAAAGTCATTTTGGTTCACTTTATTAAAAAAAGTTCACTTTCGTATTCAAGGCATACCGTTTTGTTTACATAATTTTCTAGGTCACGCTATGCGCACTATGAACAGCGTGATTTGTGACAGAAATAATAGTATAATCGAAAGTATTCATTATTGTAAATGCAGGATTCTTGGAAGTTATTTTATGTTTGTTCACATTTTAGTTTTCAGGCAACATTTTGCCATCCGTTTGAATTATTAATTAAGGCCAAAGGTAAATTAGGTCATGAGTGCACTTGTCACTTCACGATTATGTTAGATGATCTATATTTTATGTATAAATGATGAATTAAAAAGAATCTTATCTAACATATTTCCTAATCTAGGTGCATGGCAAACTTGAAAATATCAAACATTCGCTCAAATTTCCACATGGTTACCGTAATGTTTTATTTTAATTATTTATATTGCCACGTACATATCTATATTTAGCTCCATGATGTGTCACCCCTAAAATTTAATATGTATCTGACACCTGCATTTTTTTCATCGTGTCTTCAACTGTCTTGAATAATTTCATCCAGCTAATTTAATTACCAAGTGAATATTGCAGTTACTACACACTTTGCATAATTCATATAAACGGATTTTTATACATTTACATGAAAAATATGTACTGTAACTGACATGCAAACAGAGAGAATTCAGGATACATTTTATTTTCATGATCTTGAACCTTCTGGAAAAATGTGGGTGAGGCAAACATTTAAGAGAAATCAGTTAATGTTTTTATTTTCATTAACCATGTCTATGCATTGTTTTCATCTCATTTTATAAGAAGTTTGGCATTTTCCTTTGAACCAGCAAAGTCATCATGATTTCATAATCAAACACGTGACACAGTGTGGGAAATAAAATTTAATGTGCAGAGCTTAGAAGAAATATATAAACTGAAAGTAACATAAATTTATTAATTACAAGAATATATATTATATACTTGATTGATTGACCAGACAGAAAGGCATTAGTTAATATGATTGCTTAATTCATGTAGGTTGTTTACGTTTACTTTTCGCAATAAATGAGTCTGTAAATAATTTAAATCAATAGACATGTGTTTACAAAATAAAATGCTGCAACGGCTTAAAATTACAAAAGCATAAAAATGCTAATGCTTTACTTGGGGTTAATCCTAATGTAACATGTATTAATTCCCTACAAATGTACAGTTCTTAGTTGAAATTTTATGTTATTGGTTTATACAGAATTTATTTTAGTTTGATTGTGTAGGCTTTCGAATCCGTTCCTGAAACCAACCAGTACTGACCAATGAGTGTAAAGTTTCTTGCTCAAGGAAACAATGACTTG